CAGCCATGGTTGACAAGGCAGCTTGGGGAAAAGCGACTCCAGGGAACAAAGGAATCAGATGGGACAAGGTGGTAGAGAGGGTTTGGAAGGAGATAGGAGACGAGGAGGAGACATTGGACACGAAAGGGTTCGGGGGGTTCAAGAAGAAAGTCAAGGAGATGCTAGAAAGTAGGGAGGAGGCAACCCTTCGGAAGAAGGTACGAAGCGAAGACCACTTGGAGATATACGGGAAGTTGAAAGAAGGGATAGGGATGAAGAGTTACTTGGACGGCCCCATGGACTACGCAAAAAAACTGAAGTTGCAATTTCGAGTAGGCGATCTGGACTTGCCAGAACGGAGGAAGAGGTACAGCAGCCGTAGGAGAGAGGAAGAGGAGGATAGACAGACATGTCCATGTGGCAAATCGGAGGAGATTAGACCCCACATAGTTGGGGAGTGTGAGCTGTACAGGAAGGAAAGAGAGGATCTCGAGGAGGACATGAGACAGAGAGGGTGTGACATGGACAAGTTTGGTAAATTAGACAACAGCGAAAAAATTATCGCGGTAATTGGGGATAGATGGTGGGCACAAGAGGCCGTAGAGGACGGGGGGATAAGATGTGCAAGAAATTTTTATGTAGTTTGTGGCAGAAACGTAAAGAGCTCCCAAATGTTGGTGGTATCTCTAGTAGGAACAGTGCTCCGTCTCGAAAGGGACGCGTGATCAAGGGTCAAATGACTACGGCAAGCAACAAATGAGTACGCCCCCCCCCCCCCCCCCCCCCCCCCCCCCCCCCCCCCCCCCCCCCCCCCCCCCCCCCCCCCCCCCNCACCCCCCTACTGTCTCTTCCGTGACCCCGTCGACTGCAGCTCTGCGCGAGCGTCTACCCAGACTTCCAAGCGAGCTCGTCCCACGAGCATCTATGCGCCGAGCTCACCACCGGCACCCGTTCCCCAGCTCGGCTCCCACCCGGCCCTCCAGACGAGCTTGACTTCGACCCTCCACCCTCGCAGCAGCAGCAGCGAGACTCGATCGGAGGCGGGGCTCCTCTGCCGCCCCCGCCACAGGGCCCGACCCCCGCTGTCCGCAGAGGCACGTCTGCGGCCGTGTCGCCGCCTCGACAGGCTCGAGCGCCTCCCCCGCTGCGGCAGAAGATGCTCCTGCACCAGCAGCAGCAGCAGCAGCAGCAGCGGCAGCAGGGCGGGAGCAGCGAGGTTGGTGCCGGCGAAAAGGCTGGTTCGGCTAGCCCCTTTGCCTTCTTGGGGGGGGGGACACCGCCCAGTGACGGGGAGAGGAAGGTCATTACGGCGGGCAACAGCCACGCACGTCGGAGCTCCGCCCCAGGGGTAAGCCCGACCGGCGTTGCTAGCAGGGGTGCTGGAGTCGGCGGGAAGAATGGACCGGGCAGAGTTGACCCGTTCCAATCGGAAGACGACGCGCCACGGGTGTCCGACCGGGCGGGGAGGGTGCAGGGTGTGTCCGGGCCGCAGTTTGAACCCCTTTGGAGGGCTAGTCGGGGATGGGTGCTGGAGAAGGTCATGAGGAGGGTCGAGCTACCTCCGCACGTGTCGAGGCACAGGCCTCCGTTGGACAAGGCCTGTCAGCAGGGGCGAAGGGGGGGCAAGGGTGCGGTCGGGTCGGGAACGTCTTCGAGCGGCACAGGTGATGTTTGTGGCACGTGGTCTTTTTGGCAGATGCATGCTCGTGGTTGTATGCACATATGTACGATGATATTGATTTGGATTGGGCGTGTTTATGGCCAGAGCGGTTTTGTTAGAAGAGCGGTAGAGCTGCTTCGGCTGCTCTCTAGCGCATCGATTCGGCTAGAGTGTTACAGCAGTTTCCTCTCACGGTTGATATCGGTCTGGTCTGGATGTATGCATAGCGCCAGGGACGAAACGTCCAGGTGACTGTTCTGTGTTCTCAAGCATGTTGCCACGTTCGCTGCACGGGTGGAAGGTTCTGGATACTTACATCCCGTGTTTTCCAGAAATGACTCCTACCGACGGAAATACCCGAGAGATCAACCCTGGGGTAGCGACAGCCCTTCATCGTCCAACCTTGACCCTTCCTTCCTTCCTTTCTTCCGTTTCCGGCTTTTCTGCCCACCCCGTTTCCCTTTTCATGCCAACCAGCCCCTCCCGACCTGCGCCAGCACCTGTCTCTCCCTCGCACGGCGCGAAGGTTAGGCCGTCGGCCCAACCACTCGTCAGGCTCTCTCGTCCCAGGAGAGCCCACCGAAGAAGCAGATTCTTCCGCAGGCGTGGGCGGCAGCACGCAAGGAGGCGGCGGCGGCGTAGCCGGCGACTTGGATGTAGCGTCTCCCCCTGATGTTCTGGGAAGTCGCTCGGGATTCGGTGTACAAGAAACCCAGGGGATAGAGCCAGGACCAACAGGGGATAGAGCGAGAGAAGACGGTGGTGGGGGGGTTGTCGGGGAAGGAATCAGGGGCTGCGCAGAATGGGCAGTTTCCTTCTCGGGGTCCCTGCGGCAAGGAATCATGACGGTACAGGTGTGGGGGGGGCACGAGGCCAGGGGGCGGTGTGTAGGTGGTAAGGTTGCACGGGGCGAGGTTTTCTTGTAAAAGACGTGCTCTACTCTCGGGGACAGTGTCGCTGCCGCCTTTCCTATAAGTGTGCAGCTCACGTTCAGCTGCGCATGCGTCAGTAGTTTTGTCTTTGATTGCGTTCCATCGTCGTTATTCAGAGCCTGCCGGATGATACCCCGTTGGACATGGTGAGCTTTCCGCGTTGGGAACTACTGTAGGGCGTTATTTTCGATGTAATTTAGCACTTGAACCATTGACATATTGCGGACGGAAGCTGTCTTGGGTGGAAGAAGCCACAACTGATGTTTGCACACCCCACTGGCACGTAACACGTATCGTTCACTCTCTGTGCGGTTCGTGTCCGGCGCGTGCACCCGTTGATCCTCCCCTCTTCCCATCCAGACGGAACACGCGGTGTGCGTCGCCCCCCGCAACCTCGGTCTGGACGTACTGCCGGAAGGCCTGGAGGCGTTTTATTGCCCCGGTCTGCCGGCCAGCGGAGAGGCCCCTCGTGCGTGCCCCCCTCCAAGCGGTGGGAAATCATCATCGGGGGTGGGGAAAGGTGGCCGTGGAAGCGGAAGCAGTCGGGGGGGCTGCTTTGGACCGGGCGTGCCGCCTCCTCCGCCTCGACTGTTCACGTTCGCCGCCCCCGGGCGTAGCGGCACCGGCACCTTCTACGGCGCATGCCTCTCGGTGTTCCGGTATGCGACAGTTTTGTGAAATGAGTCGATGTGTTCACATGATCAGCTTCCCCCGCATCTAGCCGTGGACCTTGCGCGTGTTCTTCAGATGCCGATGGGTTTGCTACCGTTTGTTCCGGCAGCGTTCGTGTGTGTGTGTGGAGAGGAAGTCGAATATTGTACTGGCGTAGGCGCCCATGTCGAAGGACGAGAGGCCAACAGGCGTCGGTGATGAAATGCATCTACGATACGCAGGCATCACGCCCTGGGGGAGAGTATGCCAAACTGTGCGTAGAGAACGAATGGCACACGGTGGTGCTATCTGTGTGATCATCAGGCCGCACGTTGCTTAGTCCATGTACAGGATCCCCGCCCTTGTCCGCTTCTTTCAGTGTGGGCCTCCGCCCCCTCACCCCCCCCCCCCCCCCCNAGACCCGTGTCGCAGTGGGTAGGAGGCGAGCCTGCTGCCGATGTTGCTGCACGCGGAACCAACCGCGGCAGCTCGAATTCACCTCCCCCGTGTCCGATAGCAACAGCGGCAACGGTGACAGCAACAACCGCGACTGCGCCAGATACGCAAGCACCTCTCGTGGAGGAAGAAAGCAAGACTCGGATCGAAGGCATCGTGGGTGCCTCATCTAGCCGTACGGAGACGGCCTCGCACGTAGACGCTGGGGCTGCTACTGCTGCTTCTGTTGGAGAAGCGCGTGCTCCTGCTCGGTTGTCAGGCGTAGGAGATGTTTCAGGAGTGGTGGACGGGGAGGTGCAGACTGTGGACGATGGAGCGCAGGGCAACATGGGGGACAACAAGGCGCCATCTGAGGAAGGGGCGATAGAAAAAGAGGACTTGGGGAAGCTGAGTGCTGATGGTGGCGTCAGCTCGACAGCGGTGAGGGAGACCGACTCCGGTGTTGTCGAAGATGCGGTGCTCGACGACGCGACCGAGGCAAGAGAGGCCGCCGTCGTTGGTGCTGCCGCTACGGCGCAGCAGAAGAAAGAGGCTGCGAACACGACCACCCTGGACAAGACCCCGTCCATGCTCGAGATGCTAAAGCTGAAGAAGGGCATGGGGATCTTCGGAAGGTCGTCATCGGTGGGCCAGAATAAGGTGTCCCCAAGCCCTACTTCAACAGCGCCGATGTCTAGCCTACCGCCCTCCGTTACCAAAACGGAAGTGGCGCCAGAGTCAGACACGGAGGAGTTGCGAGTAGAGGTCGACGGACAAGGGGCGGACGAAGCAACCGGTGGGCTTGAGGGCAGTGGCGGTACGGGCGCGGTAGCCAAGACAAAGACCACGGCAGCGGCGGCGGCTTCACCATCCATGATGGACCTTTCGTCGAGGTTTAGGCTAGGCATGGGCATGTTCGGAAGCGGCAAGGCTTCACCGCGGGTGGTTACGGGGTCGGGGTTCAGCCGGAAGTTGGGCACACAAGCCGCCGCCGCCACCGCCGCCGCTGCTGCTGCCACTACTTCCCCGGCTGCGGGTAGCGCACCTGTGGAAGCGTCGCCAACGCCGTCCTCGTCTTCTGGCGGTGTGGGGAAGTTTTCGAGCTACGCCCGTCGCGCTGGGAATTTCTTAGGTGATGATACCGCAAAATTTTCCAAATCCAAGTGGTGCTCTTTGTACGCAGCTGCCGCTACCCTATCCGGGTTGTACTGTCAGCCGAAGGGTTCATGATGCCCATCATGTTTACACATGTATCAGCAGCAAGAAGGTCGATGCGGCAGGAATATTATTCCCCCCCCACGCAAAGATGATGAGCAGCTTCTGGTTCATCCTTGTAGAGCGTAGCCCGTAGCCCGGGCCGGCGACAACTCGGCATATCGCTCCGTCCCGGCATTGTAGGAATGCGAGCTCTATGTTCTACTGGCTACGGCATGCGTTGACACGAGTACCCCCCCCCCCCGCCCCCTCAACCTCTCCTGTCCATCTCCCACCGTAGGCTCCGATTCCAGAGGAGTCGGTCGTTCCCCGCGGCCCACCCAGCCGCCGCCGTCCCCCGACGTGCTGCCCAACGGTCCGCCACCGCCGTCACCTCTAGTCCCGGTCTACCTCTCTTCCCCACCGCCAGAAGCCGAAACTGATGACGCGGTGCTCCGACACGGCGATGCTACTGCTACGGCTGTGGCGGTGGCGGCGGGGGCCGTTGACGTCGCTACGGACGGTAATTCTCGACAGCTCTCAGACTCAGCCGCAAGCGAAGGGGGGGGAAGGAACAAGCACAAGCGTTCGCTCTCGGACGTGCCGTCAGCCGACGCGGCTTCGGCAGCGGCGGCGGCGGTCGTGGACGCCAACGAACTGGCTTCGGCTGCTTCGTCGGGAGTGGGCGATGCCTCCAAAGGAAGGTCAATGTGCGCCGAGTCCAGCGGTGTCGGCAGCAGCAGCAGCAGCAGCAGCAGCAGTGGCTCAGGGTCGGGGACCCGGAGACAAGGCGAGTCGGCCGACGGCAGCGGAGGCCGTCAGAAGCACACGTTTTTCGTGGCCAGCGGAGTGTGCCTCCTTTCCACTCGCCCCGAGATAGGGGCAATGCGGCGGGCGCTGGCGGCGTACTGGGCGGCCCACGGGGACGATATATTAGCCAGAGGGTCCGCGACAGAGGGCGGTGCTGCTGCCGCCCACGCGGGGGGAGAAAGACGGGCTTTGGCTGCTCGCGAATCGGGCGGCGGCGGCAGCGCCGACCACGGTCGCAGTGGCAGTGATGGCGAGGTGACAGAGGCACCTTCCGAAGGTTCCGGTGAGGCCGAAGACGAACAAGAGCAAGAAGAGAACAAGGACGTGGGGGCATGGACGGAGATGGACCCCAGCACGCTCCGAGCCGTGTTGGTGCCGTTTGTGACACGAGAACGGCGGGAGGAGAAAGACAGAGAGAGCCAAGCCCATCACAACGACAAGGAACGCCGGCGGTCGGCGGGCGCTGCGCAGGAGCGGACGAGTGCGGCGGATGTCTTGACGAAGTCCTTTTCCGCTGGAAGCCTCAGGCATTCCGGCCAATCCGGTGGGGCGACAAACGGGCAAGGGGACCGAGCAGAAGCAGGGGAGACGGCTGAGTGTGGAGTGGATATGTCGGCGGTGGCGCACAAAGATGGGTCGGGTTTCGGACTGGACTTCGACCCTTCCGCGGTTTTCCGGTGCCTGAGCCCGCGGAATCTCTGCCTGGTGATGTTGGCCCTGTTGTGCGAGAGAAAGGTGGTGTTGGTGTCCTCGCGGCTGTCCCTCCTCACCCAGGCGGGAGAGGTGTTCCGGTGAGTTCAGTGCTTGCTATACTATTATAGCTTGCTAGTACTTCCTCTGTCACATAAGTAAAGTCCGTTATGATAACACGGCCATTTAGCCGTGTCCGATGTCTTATGCGATACTTTTTTTGAAATCTTGAGCGTTTTTCGGGTTGAAGCCCATATTTCTTTTTTTTTCTTGCGCACTACCCTGCATGCACTAGCGGCTTACAAAAAAGTAGTCAGGCCAAAAAAGGCCGTATTTTGCCCCTTTCCATGAGGGTGGGGGTGGGGGCACAAAACGAAACATACCAAAAAAAGACAAGAATTATCCCGAACCCTAAACCCAAGGTTACCTCTACTGCACGATCCATTTCGCGTCCTCCCATACAAAAAACAACATAGTAGTGAACCCACACTAAAATCAAGACATTTTCGAGGCCCACACTTGAACCAAGACACTTGGGGGCGCCACACTAAAATCAAGTTACTTGCGGGGCAAAGCCGACAGGCGTAAGGTCCTAACCCTACCCCCCCCTTGTACTCAACGACCCATGTCGCGTCCGCCCAATGTTTTCTGGGGTAATCACTACCAACGCCGTACCGCTCGGCGAGGGGGCCTAGAAAGCCCTTGGGTACCCTTTCTTTGCCCGGCGGAATCGCCAACGCTATCTCCACCGCCATGGCGTACCGACGACCCAACGATACTTCCGCACCCCGCTTACGACGTGGGGGTGTCTGGGCGTCGTCTCCCATGATAGCTACGTCGTTGTGGTGGTAGTGGGTGCTCACACAGCACAAAGCTGCAAATATTCTTTAAAATATTCTCAAAATGTTTTCAAAATATTCCAAAAATATTCGCAAAATAGTCCCGTATTTGACACACTAATTCTCAGTAATTGTGAGTCGGATTTTTTTTTTTTTCAAGTTATGTGCGTAACAAGCGCTTTCCAACAAACCTAACGAGAGCTTCAGGAACACCTTGGCTGGTGAGGCATGTACATTCCCCCATAACGGACTTTACTTATGTGACAGAGGAAGTATAGCTTTGTTTCCTTGGGTTAGGGTGTCCGCCTTCGCACTTCGCACGGCCACTGCCTTCGGGGGTCGGGGGGTGGATGGGAGTCCAGCTACTCGCGCTCGACCTTTTGGCCCTCTAGATTTTTGGTTGTGGGACGCGTATGTCTTGGGCTCGAGTTTCGGCCAAGCGTGCTTCCCCTGCTCAGAACCCGGGTGATACCCAGAACTAGCACGTGCTGCGTTCAACTTGGATCGTTGCCTTTCCGTCGTGTTTGCATTTTTCAGTTATTCGCTGCTGCTCCCGGCAGCGGGCACTACACGAGCCCGCCCCGAAATATTGGAACAAGCAGCGCCTCACTCCCCCCCCTTCTCCACCAACCCTAGCCATTCTAACCTCCTCCCCCGGCTCGCGTTTGGTTATACCCCCCCCCGTCTATGCTTTGTCCCCGAAGGTCGCTGTTGCAGCCATTGTCCTGGAGCCACGTGTACGTCCCTCTTCTGCCTCGAAAGATGGCGGCGGATCTTCTGCAGTGCCCCACGCCTTTCATTCTTGGCCTGGAGTCGGTGACGGCCAGAGAGCTGGACCTGCCTAGAGACGCGATACAGGTGAGGTGCTTGTCCTAACGCTGGATAGGTTTAGGACATGGAAGACGCATGCTTGTCGCGTGGACTGATGTCGTCTTAGCGCGGAGCCCAACGCGAAGCAGGTGAAAATATGCTCCCGCACGTAAGGCGAGACGCGTTACCTGGCTTGTGCGATCGATTTCTCGCAGTTCTTCTAAACACGATCCCTGTTCTGGCTCAAACCCTATCCTTCCCGTCGATGTTGTATCACGGATGTTGCAATCAGTTCTTAGCTGTTCACTTCTACTAGTACCGGATAAGTCATTCCATGCCACGGATTAACCGCCCCTAGCCGATGGCGCTCCGTCCCTGAAGGTTCATCTCGATACAGACTACCTCTGCGTGCCAAAGGACTTCTTAGGGCTGGCGCCGATGTCGGTCGTTTGCTCGCGCATCAGCTCCGTCTTAAACCCCGGGGTGGACGACCTGGACTGCCCTTCGAATGGAGGTGCTGGTGCTGATGCTGGCGGTGTCTGGGCTGCGGGAACGGCCCGCACAATCCGGTTTCTGTTTCGAGAATTCATCTCGGAGCTCCTGCAGGTGATGATTGTAGCGCTTCGTGGTTGGACGCTCTTGTTCGTCTCCTGTTTCATGGCACAAGCAAGCTGTTCTGGGTTTCGGTGTGGACCCGTTTCGCCCGCAACTTTTCGTACTTTTCGTACTACCGGAATGAAAGCAAACCTTTGGTCGGCGTATACTGACACAATACACCCAAGTTCGAAACCCGCACTTGTTCTTGATTGTGATTTGGCACGGCCATTTCATTCTGGCAAGGACAACACTTGGGTCGTCACAACCCAGCGAGCCCCCTTCCTAAAGAAATTCCACGCCTCTTGCTTTGAACTGAAGGGAGCCACGGAAAGCACATTTCGGGTCGGCCAAGGCCCCACCGCCACGATACTGCTCGATGAGCACCTCTACAAGCGGGCTAAGGCTTCCGCTGCCAAGACTGCGGAGCGCTTTTACGACGAGCAGAGGCGTTCATCGGGCGGGCGGGTGGGGGGGCATGGCCTACACGAAAATCAGTACCCGGGTCCGCTGTACAATCGGCACTGCGGGTTGCTGTTGGACCAGTTCGTGAAAACACAGATGCTTTCTCACTTTCTGTCTGAAGGGGGCTCGGAGTGATGTGATGTTTGGTTCGGCTGTCTCCGTTATTGTTTCCGTTATTTTGTTGTTGTTGCTTATGCCGCTTCATGATTGTTATCATTGTCTTTTGTCGTTGTTGCTGATGCCGATGCGATGTCGTGTCCGAAAGAGGTCACGCTTGTTGGTAGTTGCGGCGCTGGGAAGCGAGCGCTCGAAGATGTAGTCTTGTTGACCAGCGTGAGGAGAGGATTGAACTGTGTTATGGGGGAGTTCGGTGGCATTGATTGTTTTGTTTTTTCTCGTATGACGTTTCTCGATGCTGTTGTATTTGGAGTTGAGGTGTCTGTCACTTTTGTGGTTTCACGTAGTTCCATTTTGTTGTTGTTTACGGCACACAGTTTTGGCATTTGTTGTGGGAGTTGCTGTGTTGATTTCATCGATTCAAGACCGATACACCAATGCATGATGACGTTTGGTTTCGTGCATCCTGCTAGATGGTTGCTGTTCACTCCTTCTATCACTGTCGAACACACGCACAAGCACGAGGTATTGGAGTGGTGGGGGCCCTGGCATTGTGGTGAAATGCGATTGATCCTTTTCGTGAGTTTTTTCGTCGGGGACTGCTGTTGTGTAGTTCCACCCTATCCCCGGTGGTGAAGTGTGCTTCGTTTTTGTCGGCTGGAGAGGTTGGCATCTTGTGCCCGAAGAGAGGGTGTTTCACATCAGTGACGATTCTTGATCGTTTCCCCAACAGTCACTTTCCTGATTCGACGCTTTCGCCGTAGTAGAGTAATCCATGTCACCGCGCCCGCTTGCCCTGTGGCAACAAAAGCGGCTGGCTGGTGGGAGGGTAAGGTCAAGGCTTGGACATTGTTGTTGACCGGAGTGCCGTATCTCGCCACAGAAGCCAAGTAGACAGTGAAGGGTGCCTTGTGCACCCATCGTCCTTCAGAATGAAATTATATTGTCGTTTTCGTTTCATTTGTGTATGCTGGAATATGTCGTTTGTGTAAGAACAGTGAGCGTGGCGAATCACTTGCCATGAAACGCAAAGTTGGAATGAAGTAAATCTATTCTACTTTCCGTGCGCCTCGTTTGTCGTTGGGTTGCGTTGATGGTAAATATGTGCGAACGGGGGGGGGTGACCTCGAAGGTCCCGGTAGCTAGCAACGGCGTTACTATCTGCAGTGGCAAGAGCAGCGCCCATTCGAATCGAACACCATGCCGGTCTTTTCCTTGTTTGGATGAATTCTGAACTTCACACGGTAAATAGCCGACGCAATTCTTCGTCGTAAAAACACCGGATTTGTGTTGTTGGCTGAAGGGCTATCAACCTCCACTGCTCTATGTAGCTCTAGGGAGACGGATTATCCGGTCCTCATCCTTACGGGACGGACCAAGCACTTTGGTGACATGGGACGACTAAATATTTACGTCAGGGATACCCTTTTCGTAGAGACAACACGGCAGAGAGCATGCTGAACATTTTGGCGTGTTAGTAGACAGACCAACCAGCGGTCCATGGCCAAAGTTCTGCAAGCTCACCGGCGGGAGGTGGACGAAACGTTCCCTCAGCCTGATTATTTCGAAGTTGATTCGGAGTGTTGGGTGTTTGTTTAAGTGCTTGCTGCTGTAGACCTTCCATACTGTCCATACTTGCTGCATCGGGTTCAGCTCGTGATCCCAGAACCTTGTTTGCTAGCCGTTGTTGTTGCTGTTGTTGCTGTTGTTGTCTCCACAAATGTAGACGCTCCGGTATCCGCTCCTCCCAGTATTTAGCTTCTAGTCTACTGTCCATACTGATCCAACTGACGCGGACTGGAGTGTGGAATTACGAAGGGGAGGGAGAGATTCTGGAGAGAGCAGTCCACTCAAACCGTACTATTCTAGTCGAAAAATGAAAGTTTGTTGTCGAAGACCGAATAAACTGTTCCAGGTAGTTTGTTTATTGTGCACGGAAGAATTCGGAACATCTCCCAGATCTATGCGCAGGTGTACCGATTCAGGTAAAAGTCAATCGACGGATACCCTGCGAATCGGGTCCTCCTTAACACTCTCCCCCCACAGAATTTACCCTCAACTGGGAACCTCTTGTGGCCAGGATGGGTAATTCGATGGAAGTGTCACAAGGTTCTTTGTAGGATCGACTCCCAAGAGGTGTTCTCAGGACTGACACACATTGTGTCCTTGGGGAAAATATCCAAGTCAGGAGAAAAAGTGTGCACCCAAGGAGATTCGCACCAGTATCCAGCTGACGCCATCTGCGAAGGTGTACCGATTCAGGTAAAACTCAATCGACGAATACCCTGCGAATCGGGTCCTCCTTAACATCTACGTTTGTATTTGGGTTCTTGTTGTGCCGCCCTGGAGGCGTGTTGGTTGGGTTGTTCTTGGATTGGTTTTCTGGGGTCTTACGAAGAAAAAGGTCTCATGGAGTTCTCATTCTGCTGCCTCGCTGTACTCCTGCAGCAAGAGTTTGATAGACGCGTGTCTACTGGAACAAGGGCCACGTGTTGAGGAATGCACAGTGTGTAACACGCAGCCCGCGTCGGAGGGTCACGCGAGAAGGAGGGCAGCAGCTAGCTACATCGAAGTTTGGACCCAGCTAGCAGAAATTCGTAGCTTTTCTCCCGCCCACCCACCACTTTTCTGTAGCAGGTGGGGGATAGGATATGTTACGAGTGAGGACTCACTTAGGAGAGGCCTCTTAATGTTTCTGTGACTCGGAGTTGGTGCAACCGTTTGCCACGTAGAAGTATGGCGTAGCATTGGGGTGCTTTCTGAATGGTAGTGCGTACCATCGGAAGGCTCAATCGTCCGAGACTGCTACTGTGCAACAGTTTCGTCCCGTCTGGTGGTATTCGGAGGGAGATTTTGTGTTTTAGTAGCAGAGGCAGGTTAGGATACAGCAGTGGCTTTGTGCCGTGCGGAACGTGTGGTATGGGGGATGTCTCCCTCCGTAGCCCACAGTAACAGTTATTATTTGTGGAGGACACCTGTGGCGGGTTCCGCGCTAAAGCTCAATGTCTTCTCCGCCCGCGAAAAAAAAGAAAAAAAAATCGACTTCGGGAGTCGTTCTGAAACGCCCAAAAAAGGGGTTTAAAAAAAGGTTCCAAAAAAAGGAAGTTCATCTTCGGCCACTTGTTACGCTGTCTCTTTTTGGGCTGTCCCTTTTCTCGAAAAGGGACAAAGTTGCCCAAAAAGGGACAGGATGGGGTGATCTTTTTTCGCTGTCCCTTTTCGGGAGGTTCAAAAACGCAAAAAAAGACCACGTAACAAGTGGTTTTTGGTCAGTTGTCCCTTTTTGAGAAAAAGGACAGCCCAAAAAGAGACAGCGTAACAAGTGGCCGCGTCGTTTTTTTTTTCGCCGCATTCCCGATCTTTTTTCTTTTGGAGCACCGCGCCAATCGCTTCCGCTTGCCCGATTTAGGGGGGGTAGAGCCACTCAGATAGTTGGTCACACCTATACCCACGGGCGGAAGCGCCCTGGGATGAGTCAGTCTCAGGCTGGGCCGCAAGGCCCAGCTGTTACTGGACGAGTGCCACCGCATCATGTATGTATGCTGGATCGGACGAACACACAGTAGTGCGCCATCGATGGAGACTCCACAACGACCCGCGCAGACCCGAACGCGGCATCAAGCTAGACACTGACCGCAAGGATGGCAAGGCACGTGGCGGATGGACAAAGACAGTTACAGACTATTGCCCCGCCTTCGAGCGCGCCTTGTCCAAATTGGCGAAAGAGAAGGCTCACGCGGTCATGCATGGGGTCAGGGAGTTAGCCAAACGGAAGGGCATACCGCAGAAGGGCTTGAGGCAGGGAGCAGACACCTCAATGAGCTGCCCCGTCCTCGCGGCCATCGGCACGACGACTCGTACTTTGACCGGCAGCAGTGGGCCAGCTGCTGACCCAGACGTGAGACACAGTTTGAATGTTTTTGAGTATAAATTTACCTTCAGTCTACGGTGTGATCATGTAGTCTAGTGTTGTTGTTGCTGCTGCTGCTGCTATTTGTATAAACTGCCGAATGATGTGTGTGTGCCATACATGTCCGCTTACCTGAACTCTCCTGCATTACGCTTTATACTGCTGTGCTCACCGTTAAATCAACCTGCAACCGCTGATTGTATATATCTTGAAGAGCTGCATGCAGTTGGGCTTCCCTTCGACTCTGCCGCCGACACACTGTACCTGCCCCCCATCCCCAAACCTGCTGTGTTGCCGCCAACTTACAGCCGCCGTCCGACTGGAGGGACACAGCTGCCCCATTTTTGAACGCGATGAAAGCCATGAATGCCGAAACTCTGTTGCAGAGTCTGATCGACAACGGAGTACCGGCGGCGCAGGAGATACACCAGGAGCTGGCGGACGCGCGGCAGTTCCAAGCGGCATCGCGGGCAGCTCTCAAGGACGCAGCAGTGTTCGGCCGAACCAACATGGGGAGGCAAACCTATCAGACAATTCTCACTGCTCATGCCTACGATGGGGACGAGGGGGCATCCACGTTGCCAGGCTACCGCAAGGCCGAGATACTCGGCGTTGACCCGGCCGAATTTTCGCGTGCGCGGCAGCGGGCGAAGTCGCTACAGCCCCGCGTACCCCCTGCAGCAGCGCTGGAGGCAGGAGCGTACTGATACCGCTCCCGACGTAAGAGGAGCGACGCCACCCCACCAGAGCTAGTGGAGCTCATGAAGGACTTCTGGCACAACGATGCGGTATCGCGCCTGACGGGAAACTCTGCTCACATCTTCCGGGAGTCCAAGAGTCCAACTGCAAGCACACACCCTCGCCGGCAGCTCATGGTAGAGGGAGGGGGCGAGACGGTATTCTCCAAGTTCCTAGAGTCGCCGGAGTTCAACAACTTCAAGCGTATCTGGAGGTCAGAGAAAGGCGAGGACATCAAGGACCCCGGGCGCACCCGGTTTCTCTCGACACGGTGCAAGTGTCTGACGGCGCCGAAGACAGACCAGTGCGCGTGCAAGATCCACACGCAGGAAACCTTCTACCTTGAGGCGCTGAAGAACATGACACTGGTGGACCGCCCGGTATGCGACTGCCGATGGTGTAGCGTCGAGGATGGCGACGCGATATGGAAGGGGCACTGGCAGCACTTGGGGACTTTCTCGGACGCCCTCGCTTGCCCAAAGGTGGACCTACGAGCGGGGGACCCGGAGGAAGACAGCGCGGTCATGGGACGGAAACCGGAGTGCGCTTCGTCCGACTGCGACGTCTGCGGGTTCGGGAAGGAGGGGAAGGAGGGGGGCATCCCGTTCTGCAAGGTGCTGGAGACGTCGAAGCAGGTGGTTAAGTGGAAGCGCTACGGCGACCTGGAGAGGCCCGCGAAGACGACTCTAAAAGACCAAGTGATGGAGGTGGAGGGCAAGCTCTGCGACATGTGGGCGGACTTCAAGAAGCACAGCAAGGTGTACATGGCGCATCACTCAAAGGCCAAGTGGCAGAGAAACTGCCACAACACCTGCTTGCGAACGTTTAGGGACGGCGACATAGTCATCGAGACGGACTTCATCGAGAAGTACACTCACGAACCCTCAAAAGTCCTAACCTGCGCGAGGCACGACACCACTACCCTCATGGTGGCCATCGTGCACTTCTGCCCACAAGAGTGGGAGGGCGGCGGCAGGGTACACCTGAGCGAGACATGGGTGTTTGCTTCCGCGGACCCTGCCCACGACTTCGACTTTCATCTCCATGCCCTAAAAAAAATAGCTGACTACTACTTGGATGGTGAGGGGTCTGCAGCTACTGCATCTGCTAGGGAGGACAACCGGGTGCCTCGAATGCTCATGTTCACGGACGGCTGCGCCAAACAGTACAAGGGCAGGCGCAACTTCCGCTTCTTGTCCAACAGTGTGCGGGAGCTCGGCTTCATCGTGGAGCACCACTTCGCGGCAACCTCTCATTTCAAAGGTTGCCACGATGGCATCGGCGGCGTTGTGAAGAATGCCATGAAGAAGTCGGAGCAACTCGGCAGGGTAATCACCGGCGCGAAGGGTGTAGTGGAGTTCGTGAGCAACTACTTTGCCGACATCAGCAAGAAGAGCCTCTCCGAATACTTCGCTAGATGGTCGGCGTATCGTATCCGACGCGTGCACACAAAGCTCATCGGACCAACCGCAATCTACAGACCAAAGCGGGATCTTGTGGGCATCACCGGTACTCGAGACAACTACGTCTTCATCGGGGCCAACACGCCCACATCAGACGCCTCCACCGCTACCAGACTTGGGAGAAACGTAGACGTTCCGGACGTCGTGAAAAGGTATTGGGCGCTAGCGATGGGAGTGGGCGAAGGAGTGGTGAAGGGGACGGGGCTCACCGTCGTAGCGGTAAAGGAGTATGTACCATGGAGCAACGCGTGGGAGAGGAAGGATGGTGGGGAGGTGGAGGGCGACGGGGGTGGGGACGAGGCTGAAGAAGACGAGGCGGGGGATGGGGGGGGGGGCAGGCGAACCAATCGGAAGCGGACGAGGAGCCAGATGCTCGTGCGCTCGGGTGACGTCGAGCAAGAGGAGGAGGAGGAGGAGGAGGAGGAGGAAGAAGAACAACAACAACAAGAGTCGGGGGGGCGGGGGGCGGGGTCCAGGCGTTCCGGTCGCACGCGGGTGGAGAACGTGACATTGATTGATCAGGGATGGGATGAGTCGTCGTCCAGCGAAGAGGAAGATCCTTCTGATTTCACGGGGGGGTTGGTGGGGGTGTGCAGGCGTTCCGGTCGCTCGCGGGTGAAGAACGTTACGCTGGTAGATCAGGGATGGGATCAGTCGTCGTCCGGCAACGAAGACGAATCCGAGCCGGAAGTAGAGGCAGCTCTGGAAGGAGGGGATGAAGAGTACGCGGGGTGGAAGCATGCGGGAGGGGCGGAATCATCCGAAGAGGAGGAAGAGGAGGAAGAGGAGGAGGAGATGGGGGACGAGGGTGCTGTGTCAGGGTTAGAGACGGTTCGTGTTGAGAAGCGTATTGCCGACCACGAGGTGTACACCTCTCCGGCGTCGTGTTTTTGCTCAGCCTGCCAAGTGCGCGATTACGATAAGTGTTTCGTGTTCGCCAAGTACCCGACTCTTGTCCCCAAGCTCCAATTGAGCGTAGTTCAGGAGAAGGTTATCATGGATACCGGCGTAGATACCGTTGGGTTGGATGGTGAGGTCGATGGTCGAAAGAAAAAAAAGGAAATTAAGTTCCGCAAGAAGAGCAGCGTTTGTTTGTTGCAGAGGGTCACGGGTACGCAATTTGGGGAATCTTTCTGCGACAGTTCTTGAAAAGAGGTGTTGTAGAGAACAGGGCATCGTGTAGGGTAGGTGTGTTTCGAATCGTGGGGGATTTTGTGCATGAACATGTGCCTGCGGGCACTAAAGTATGTTGTTTGAGTTGAGTTTTTTTTTTCGCGGCGGCGGCATGACGATGATGACGCTTGCATCCCTATAACTCCTCACCTAATGCGAGAACAAAACATCTGATCCCGGATTCGTGATCCCCACCCCAAAATTACCTTGATCTGAAATTTTCAGATTCATCAGAGCCATTTTCAAAACCGGGGATGTTTTGGCCCCATCCCCGGGTTCTGCGTTCCGATTCTTAGCCACCGGAATATACTAGTATTGATTGAAACCCGGGCAAGATGAACGAACTTTTGTCTCAAATTTTGCACAACATCCTAACTTCATCACAGGACCATGCCAAAAACATTTCGAGGCTTAGGGGGTCCTCGGAAGGAATTTACGGAAACCCCCCCCAAATATTGAGCTTTAGCGCGGAACCCGCCTTGTCGGAATATATAACCAACCATTTGTGCACATACAAAGTATAGGAAGATATGATTCCTCGGGGTAACTTGCCATCGGGAGAAGTGGCAAGTAAAGCACCGAGGAGATTTGTCTCTTCCGAAGTCCATGGCCGCTTGCCGAGGGAAGAGATGGGGGAGCCTCCGGCTCGCCCCTCTCGACCCTCTGGTCACACTCTTTTTCTACCTCTCTCCTCGTTACATCTCACGAAAGGAAATAGCCACCCTTGGCAGTGGGAGAATACTGCCAGAGCACCGGCCTCTGTCTCTGACAGGGACTAGTGTCCTCATTGGCGTCGACGTCGACGAGAACACGGCTCCGCCGTGATTCGTAGCGAGACGGAAAGGACAAGAAGAGGAAATCGCGATGCCCAACACCAAGAGCTCGCAAAAGCAAAAACTACGTGAGCGAGCTGAACAAGCGGAACAGCGCGCGGATGAGCAAACCGCTGCGCTAGCGCGTAAGGAGGAGGCGCTTGCGAGGCTCCGGTAACAGCTTGCCGCCGCTGCCACCTCGACGTCACAGCAGTCGGGCTCGTCTTCTACACCACCGGGCAGGGGCACCCCTCCGCAACGGGTGTCTGCCCCAAGGCCTCGGGGAACTAGCTCTCAGCAAGAGCCCATTCCCGAGGACGACGAGCACGATGGCGAAGCGAAGGGTGAAACACCCGACGGCGATGGCGACGATGACAGCAGCGGCGAGGAAGCTGATGGCCAACCGCTGGACGATGAGCATGACCTACATATCATGCGCCAGTTGCTCGAGGGCTTTCGGGCGCAGGATGTATCGCCCGACGACCGTCAGGCGTTGATGGCGAGTGCAGGAGGCCAGTTCTCCGATCTACTAGCTCGGCATTGGCAGGAGGGCTCCACCCCACCCGCGTGGCTGGTGTCCCTTTTCCGACCTACCTCCCAGACCTCCACTGCAACTCCGGCCTCTGCAGAAGAGGTTGCTCAGGTGAACCCTCCTACAGCACGTAGCAATACCGTTGAACAAAATCAGAACAGGGGAGGTAGCACCTCCACAGGTCTCATTTTTCGCCAACAGTCTTGCCCGCTGCAACTCAGAACTCACCTGTGCAACCCCGCAGCCTAGCCCCCGAGTTGGCATCTACTCCGCATAGTGAGGATAGTACACACAGGCCTAGCAACCCTGTAGCACCGTCCACGCCCCAGCTTGCAAACTTTTCTATGCCTGTAGGCACCCCCACTTCAACGCATACATCTGGCCAAACTCAAAAATTTACTTTCCGACAGAACGACCTCCCGAACGAGATCGCTTTTTCAGGGAAGCCAGGGGAGCCAGATATGGTTGAAATTCTAACTCGATACAGAGCGCGATGTCTTGCGTGAGAAACAAGCTCTTGAATATGGCACATATGTCGACTACCTTACAAAACAAGACGCCCGTCTACCCGATAACGAAACAACAACTTCCATGTCGTACTACTCTATACGCGATGGGTTGCTGTTCAAATCGTATTTACCGGGCCACCTCCGCAAGCGCAGTACGTTTAGTGACCAAATAGTGTTGCCACAAGCCCTCACAGGACTCACTCGTGTTACACGCCTATCACGACCACGTATTATCTGGAGGTCGCTTAGCGTCTAGACCGACTTATGAGAAGGTCCGCCAAAAATACTGGTGGCCAACCATGAATCGGGACGTTCGTGCTTGGTGTCAAGAATGCCAAGCCTGTCAACGTCGTAAAACGGCCCACAATCGAAACAAATTACCAACGGGACATGTACCTGTACAAAGACCGTTTGAACGTATTTCGGTTGATGTAGTCGAATATAAAGTGGAATCAGTTTCAGCCGCCGGGGTACGGTGCAAATACGTCCTATCCATGATGGACCACCTAACCCGATTCACCGTGTTGACTCCAATTCCCAGTAAGTCAGCAGTCACTGTCGCGCAGGCCATTATCGACCGCATCATTGGCATCTTTGGATCGCCTGAAATGTTGCATTCCGACCAAGGTCCTGAGGTTGAAAACACTGTAGTCCAGCAACTACAGCGGATTCTGAACTATAAAAAGACCCGCACGACCCCATATCGTCCTCAGGGTAATTCCGTTTCAGAACGAGTACATGCAACCATGCATGCAATGCTTGCAATGCATAGTTCCATGAACCGCGATAACTGGGCATCACTGCTGCCTTTTGTTCAACTGGCCTACAACACATCTTTTAGCTCCACCATGCACGAAACGCCGTTTTTTCTTATGTTTGGTCGGAAGCCACGTCTACCAGTTGACATTATTCTCGGTATTCCTTATGAAGGAACAACAGCAAATACCGAAGAATTTTCTAAACCGACACGGGAAAATCTACAGTTTGCGTTTGAACTAGCGCGCCGTAACTTGTCGGAACGCTCACAAAAACAAGCTGCCAAGGATGCTAAACTACATCCTATCCTTGTGTTTAAACCTGGCGATTTAGTACTTGTGTACCGACCCTACCAGGATTCGGATGGACCAAATCCGAAGCTGTTATTACCGTGGCGTGGGCCTTACGTCATCTGCTCCCAATGATCACCTGTGGTATATAGAGTGAGACGCCAGAATGAAACTCGTGAAGTTTCGGTCCATTTAGCCCATATTAAACGGTAATATGCGAGGAAAACGCCACCTGCGCCAGACTTTGATAAACTTTCTGAGTTTTTCTTGGGACGCCAGATTCCGTTGCCCGAGCTAGACCATCACGATGAAGCTCAACCGAAAAAGTCCTACATCGTTGACCAAGTGGTAAGCCATAAAAAAAGTGGTAGGGGGCCGAAAACCCCGTACAACTGCAAGTATCGTTGCGTCTTCGTGGATACGGCCCTGAGTCGGATCTTATGTACAGAGCAGACGAAATTCCACTATGTCAAGAAATGATAGCTGCCTACCGAATCCGTTGTGGTTTGGACATCGCGCCGCCTGATAAATCTGCGTCTCGTGCCCCAGTTAAACAGGGAGATCCAAAATCACTCAGTGAAACCAGGAAACGAAAACGGAGGCAGGCAATTAATCCTGAAGAAGCTTCACCTCGAAAATTGGTTGTGCAAAGTGATTCTGAGCCACCCAGCAAAACTAACAAACGACGGAGAAGTGTCCAAGGAAGCTGTCATTACCCCAGTCGCGTTCGGCCACGACCCTAGGTGATGTTACATTGCCCCGTCGTACTACCAAACGAAAACGAACTAGGGCCCGAAAATTGAATGATTGATGCATTTCGATCATTCATTTCTAACAGCTACCATTTCTAATTTTAGACTTGGGATATTTGTCTACTACCATTATCCTGTGTCCATCACTACGTAACACAGGACCGGTAGCCACGGTGGTAGGTTGTGTCCATTGGGAACAACCTATTCTATCAGTGTTTGGGGAAACACTGGCGAGGAGGATAATTTTTTTTTAGCCACCGTTATCCCAAGATCTTGTTTATGATGCCTAGGCGGACTTGCCAGAGGTTCACCTCATTACAAGTCTTCCCCACATCATCCCCACACATGGCATGTCACGCGATCATGACCATGGGAAAATTTTCTAGTACCCAAGCTGTCATCATGACAGCCCAGTACCCACCTTTCTCTAGACTATACTAGTATGGACCACATTCATCGACCGTCTGAAGACTCCCCGTGTTTTCTCAACACGCGTTGTACGATAATTAGATGTAGTCGATGGTGTTGCACAATGGATATAGGTTATTTCCGATACATGCGTCTCCATGAGCCACTCATGTCTCTGAACGCCAAAAGCACATCTTTAGCACAGATGGACTTGTGGCGCATAGAGGGGGGGGTGACGTGGAGGACACCTGTCGGAATATATAACCAACCATTCGTGCACATACAAAGTATAGGAAGATGATATGATTCCTCGGGGTAACTTGCCATCGGGAGAAGTGGCAAGTAAAGCACCGAGGAGATTTGTCTCTTCCGAAGTCCATGGCCGCTTGCCGAGGGAAGAGATGGGGGAGCCTCCGGCTCGCCCCTCTCGACCCTCTGGTCACACTCTTTTTCTACCTCTCTCCTCGTTACATCTCACGAAAGGAAATAGCCACCCTTGGCAGTGGGAGAATACTGCCAGAGCACCGGCCTCTGTCTCTGACAGGGACTAGTGTCCTCATATTTCTCATAAATATTCTCCACGCCATAGCGTCAGCATTGCGACTAATAGTAACTAACGCCGATATTGGTCGGCTATCACTTCTCCGAAACTCTCCCTATCCTTTGCGATATCGTCGTTCATTGATTGTTATTCTTGTGGTAATTCTCAACGTCTACATTAAATCAGCCCCGGAAATTACCACGCTATGCAGTTCCTCTTTTGTACAGTAGTCCACGCATTACTACCCACTGCCACCAATACTACAATGGTCTGTGTCAAGACGTAATGCTTCGAACAGAATGAACGGGCCCGAGATAGGCCGTGTCTCCGTAATACCGACCGTTTCATGGTATCGTTGAAACCGTGGCGCTTTGGCCTCTTGGCAGTTATCTTGTCAGCATCAACCTTGGTCGACCTTCTTTGGTGAAGCCAAAACGTTTGCTGACCGTTTCATACTTAACCCCAGAGTGATGATCCAGATAGTCGTCATCTCGCCACTCTTTTTTTTTCGGTGCGCGTCCTCCCCTCACAAACACAATCACAACAAGCACCTTTTCATACCACGCGAGCAACCGCACCCGAATAGCTACTACTGTAGACTTTGGTTACAACATGGGTGTCCCCGGATTGGCCTTCATCGGCCACTCCCTGATGGGTGGGCTAAAGAGGGTCGGCGCCACCATGTTCAAAAGGCCGGCTGGCAAGACGGCTGGCAAGACAGAGAGGTGGGTGCCGCCGCTGGTTTTCCGGAGCTAGCAGAGAGGAAAGTGTTGTGTACACAAGCACGTCACACGTGAAGTTTTGGGTCGTGCTACTCCACTCTGTGTGCAAGAGGTGAGCAGGACCGCTGGAACGTGTGTGTACTTCTCGAGACGAGACCGAGCGCCTTGTTTCCGAAAGTCCACTCTAGCTACTACCTCTTTCCCAGTTCGTTGGCCTTCCTGACCTCTGAATCTCCCAGTTACGAACGGAACACGGTAGGTAATACGAGAACAACATACCGCTGTGATGTGATGATACTGTAGACCGTCAAGTATTTGCACAAGACCATCATCAATCAACGGAGCCAACGATCAATCGCTTCAGCACCGAAGGGCGTCCGATCTTCGTCAGCTACCCGTTCCAGGTGCGCTCCATACCATAATTTTTTACAGCAGGTTGGAGCAAGGGGGCTGACTTGAAAGTAGCAACCTCTGGCCGACTCGACCGTTGCGCTTCTAGTGCGATGGTACTCTTCCCAGCATCTCCCGACCGCTCGGTCGACATCCACATTCTCTCTCGCAAAGAAAACAGTGAACAAATCCACCGACTGCAGTTCTGGAAACCGGGGAAACGTTTTGTGGTTCTTTTCTCTAGCGCAGGCTGAGCTCATCATGCGAAAAGCATTCCCAGCCACTTACAGTGTTGTCAGGGCCGGGAGACCCTAGAAAAATGCCGCCGGTAGAGTGGTCAGGTTGTTGTTCTGCAGAAACCTTTGAGTGTCAAGGGGAGGCCATGAGCGGAGCAAGGAAACGACAAGTCAGCCATGAATTGCCATTTATTTGCTATACACGGACGAAGTTCGAATGCTTTGGTAAAGTAGACTAACGATATATTTTCCGCCGCATGACGACCTGACAAATTATTGTCCCCGCTGGATACCCAGCGACTGCATACATGCCGTGCTACCGCAAGTATCAATTGAGTAACCCTCGCAATGAGAAAAATGACATGCCACGGGGAAAGTAAGCCTTGCGCGTTCCCGAAAATAGAAGAGGCCACCTTTGAAAACCAAAGTAGAGCTCACGGGGTTAAACGTTCCCAGGTAAAGACAATATTGGAGTGTTCAGGGTTGTTGGTGTTGTTTGTCCATTTTGCCTCACACACGTTTGGGCACATTTCGGAACCAAGCGAGACACATTTTCGTTTTCGATGAACCACCAACAGTGTTGCCCCAACCCAAGCAGGGAGAGGCAACCTTTGTCCAAAGAAAAATGTTTCGTGCACGCGGCGGTCGGTATGATACACGGAGCCTCTGGGGATTGGTATACGTGTGATCTGAGGATTAGGGAGTTGCGGAGCCCCGTGTGCCGTGGGCTCTCCGGCTCACCCCTGCCTCGGGCTGCGGACATGTCAACACGGCTGTGCCCTCGTTGTAACCTATCTCCACTGGAACGCTGATAGGATGTTAACGTCTGGTCACCCGCCAATTACTCGAACAAGAACCCCCAGGGCGCTCCCATAGGCAGGGCGTTCGGCAGGTACGCAACTTGTGATGCACCAGCGATAATTCTTTGGAGGGTGGGGTCTCATGGTCCGGGGGTTGTCCAAAGGATACTATTTACATATGTTGCCCATTTCCGTTCATGGGCGCACTGAAGGCCACCTCTGACGACTCACTACACCATGGATGAAAAAAAAATTACCAAGCCCCGCCGACGTCTACAGTTCATACCGTTGCCAGCGCCATGGCACTGCCCAGCATCCTCAAACACCTGTTTGACAATGGTGTACACCCCCTCTCTCGCTCACCATCAACAGTGAGAATGTATGCACGCGACTACGGATCAGAATGACATATGAGGGCAGTGAGGGCACCACCATGTGAGAGGTCTACCGTCAGCGCTCGGAAACGACAACCTATCGAGCTACGTATTATGATGACTGGGTACTCGCGTGTCTAGCCACGCCGAGAATGCCTCCTTCTCTCCATCACCGATACATGCGTCCGCGCATGTCAATGGCCGAATGAACGCGCGTTCAGGACAAAATTGGCCGACTCGCGCGTTTCACAAACAAACGCAACCAACCCCAAATTCGAGAAAGTGCACCGGCTGGGTTCGATGCGATAACCGCAGCGAGACTACGGTTCGTAGGTTGGAGCTGCTCTAGGGCATCCCCACCTGTTCTTCACCGAAATTTCTACCAGTTGCTTTCTGGCCCGCTCGTTAAGGTGTGATGGTTCATGGGCACGATTTGCGTATGGTATTTCGTGTTCTTCATCGCAGGCTGACCTCATGCCGAAGAGCATCCCACCGATCACCATGTCGAACAGCTACCTACAGATATTCCAAGGCTTGAGGACCCGCGAAGATTCCCTCCGGTAAGGTGGTGAGGTCGTTAGACGTCAGGGACCTTCGGGCGTCGAGGGAAAGCCACGACCGGAGCAGACGACGCACATGAGCTGGGAATCAGTGCTTGCTGCCGCCCATGGTGGTCTACAACGCGCGGCCAGCCCGCCAACATACACAGACGACGTTCGGTGGCGCTAGCAAAGTCACCGACTCTACGCCGCCACGAGATGACCTGGGTACGGTCATATCAATCATGCCTTATTCCCGCTACAGCTGTGGCGACTCACTTCGCCGTCGTAACCCGTTCCAGGGTGGCATTGCGTACAACGTGGATCGGAAAGAGGTTCGGATATGAGGCCATTGAAGGTACCACCACGTAAAAGGTCTACGGCCAATGCCAACAAACGACAATGTATCCCGTTACGCAGTAGACGCATGATCCTTGGGTGCTCGCTTTTCTAGCCACGCGGAGATGCACTCTTTCTCTCGACACCTCAACAAATGCTTACATCCGAAGGGTGTACCTAACAAAATATCGAGTGAACCCACATGCAGATCGAAACTGACCGACTCATGTGGTTCACAGACAAACCCTTCCAAGAGCAACCGTCCGAGACAGTGCAGCGGGTGAGGGTAGACACGATATCCGCAGCGAGACTACCATGCGTAGGTTGGAGCTGGATTTGGGCACCCCCTCTAAAACACGTCCAAGGTAGCGGAAAAGGGCAAAGCACGAGCAGGGAAGCTGCACCCAATACTCGCAAACCGGCACCTCGATACACGCATCAAATTGACGGTTTTGAAGAGCGTAATCGTACCGCCGCTAGAGTACGCCGGAGAAGTATGGGAAGGAAATAAGAAGGTAGTGAAAGAACTCGAGGCGGCGCAGATGNGTATGGAAGGGGCTCGACATCGACGAAGATGAAACGCTGGAAACGGAGGGTCTACAGGAGTTCAAGGAGAAGATATCTGTTGCTTGTGCCGAGAGAAAAGAACATAATCT